AATCGCCATGTAAGTTGAACAGATTGAATTCTATTAACCGAGTTCAGCATCGTTTTGCGCTTACTTTGGTGTATATTTGGGCTTGATGTTGCAACATCAATGGAGTCAACATATTTGACTATCGCATTTCTTGCAGAATCATCGATCACGATACCGAATTCAATAGGAAAATGTGCATACTCAATGCAATTACGAAATACATACACAATTTTATAGACTAAACGTATCAAATTGGTTATAAATTTTCCAACCACAAAAATTGCCACCATTTTTCCATTTTGTGCGGGCATTTTTCGTGTCGTTCCTTTCAAAAAATCGTTATTTAATATTTTTAAATAATAAATTTCGTAACCTATCTCTCTAAGAAGGCATGGTAAAAATGTGTAACCATTTGATAGATGACAGAAAAAAGGTTCGTCGTAATCGGCATTAATCAGTGAGTTTTCATGCAAATTGCGGAAAAGCAATGAGGTTAATGCAGTTCATGTTATCAGCAGCTCACACGAAACCAAATTGTAGCCTTCTAAAACGCATTTACCGGTGTGTGTGTGTGTGTGTGTGTGTGCAAATGACTTTCTCTCACAACACGGAAAACAGCCACCAAACGAGCGCGCAGTCAATATGATCACAAAGTAGGTTCCGTTTAAAGACAAAACGCAGCAATTAAATTAGCCGTAAACACCGTTTTATTATCTCGGCAAATTAAACGGCGGAACCGCCGAATTGCACCAATCGACTCGTTTCTTTCTTCTTCTTTGATTTTGGTTATTGATTTCCATGTCAGAAGTCTATTGTTATCTTTGCCATTTTCATGTGGCATGTGTTTATATACTTTCAATTTTTTCATTCGCTCTAACCGATGGGATGCCGCATTGAATACGAAATGGATGTGTATATGCATTGGAGCACGCGCACACGAGACTAGAGTGTTAATTGTACATAAATGGATCTCCCCCTGAAACCAAAACACCGAAACCGATTGCTTGGCAATCAGAAAATTATACGCTCACGTACGGCTCACCGTTGATTGATATGGCTTTTGTGTTCGACAGTCATCTTCGCAGATTGTGCTGTTTTTCTTTATATGCTGAATAGATTCAAATCGCAACCAACCGATGAATTGTGCCATTTTGGTGTCGATGCACCAAAACTGCAGGCGATTATTACACATTACGCGGCGCAACCGAAAATATAGCAAACAGTAAAGAGAGAGAAAAAAGCATACACACCAAACCAACCGCATAATATCCAAAACCGTTTAAAAATTTGCTGATTAAATAGATAGCAGTTATGGTGCCGCTGGCTTTATACTTTGAAAAAGCATAGCAGTTTTCTTGTTTTTCATTTCTTCTCGAGCTAGCGCAAATTATGAATGCTTCACAACTGCATAAAATCATGCAAAAAAAAAGTGAAAGGAGAATTAATCTTCTAGATGCAAGAAACAAAAAACACACACGCGCCACGTATAATCATCGACCGAAGTACACATTCAATGACTTTAAAAGACTTTGTTTCATTCAATGCGAGCGCTTTTTTCATTCCTTCGGTGCGTGTAGCTGAAGTCGAGAAAAAAAGAGATCAAATCGTGATCTCGCTCATGTCTTTGATTCTAATCAAGAAAGCCGAAGTTTGACCGAAAAAAAAAACATGCGAGAACAATTTCATAATGCACCGGTGTCCATCAAACACTCCTCAAGGTTGACGTTTGGTGTTTTTGTGCCAATTTGACAAACTCGATATTAATTACTTCGGAAAATGTGCCCATAACATGTGTGACAGTTGTTTTTTCTGCGCACACCCTGTTTTGTGTCGTGCAAACGCAAATTGTTTTGCGAAATTTGTCGGTACAAGCGTTTTCACGCCGCTTCAGGAGTGATTTCAACATTGCTTTTAATAGATGCGGGTTTTTTTGTTACTACCTTGCATTCCAATATCTGCCTTACATACTCAATCTGATCGATTTGAATCTTTGAGTTCAAGCCTTTTCTCAAAGCAATCGGATGCAGTTAACGTATTGAATAATAGCATGCGGAAGGCATTTGCGATAACAATTCGTGCCTATGATTGAATCTCGTCGGGCGTGATTCATAGCGGAGAATAATGGTTTATTGATTAAATAGCCCAGGCAAATCTGAAGTAAAGTGATTTATTTCAAAACGATACCTCATTGAAATAAACGATTGAAGCTTTATTGTGTTTCATTTTTATTACAGATTGTTGTTAAATTGCCCATTGCAAACAATAATAACTTCTGAACTTTAGAAAATCGGTGAAAAAAAAATCCAAGCATTTTTCTTCATAGTTGAGTTGCGCAGTAAATGCGAGAACTGCTGGTCAATTATTACCATTTAAAACGCAGCAATATAAAGTAATTAGAACTGTATCAAAATCGCGCGCAACAATAGCATGCACACGCGGAAAGAAAAACGATTGCGCATTTAGAGCATGTTATAGTGAAAATGAGCAGCTGCAGAACGCATCTTACAGCTTAATCACAACGCTCAATAAAAGTATTTATTTCCTCTGGGTTTTCATTGAAAAAAAATGAGAAAAAGAAAAAAAAACACCAGTTTCTCGTATAGAAAAACACATTTGAATCGTATTTTTTTTCTACGCAAATAAAACCAACATTTTTTCTCCATACGATTTGCTTATTTCCACTCTTTGGAAGATACGAAATTTGACACTGCCGCATCGAATCGTGTGCACCAATGAGTTTCTCTGCTCTCTTTTCAGTCAAGCTCTCGATATGCCTCGTGTTATTATTGCTTCACAATTTACGCACAACAATTAATCATCATTAGTAATTAGTGCACAGATGAAAATGTTTGTTTGTTTGTTAACATGCAACCGGGTACAACTGACAAAAGAATGAAGAAGAGAAAAAAAGCATTGCCTTTGGTTCCGTGAAGTATAAATAGCAAGCGAACAAAACAAATAAATCGGAGGAACAATATAAATCGTTTGGAGACAAAGCGTATCTAAAGTGAGTTCCGCAAATGAGAAAATGTGCATCCATCATGAAATTGGCAGTGGAACTTTCCATTTAACGCGATTACCGCACCATTTGTACACCTTTTATGTGCGGATTATTATTTTCACATCGCTTCAATGAGGAAAAAAAGAAACAAACCCACAAGAATCAATGTTTGTGGGAGATTGGGTCGTATCAATCGTCTTAAAAAGTCATTGATTCCAATTTTTTTTGTGGATAAGCTTCAACTATCCGACAGCTCCATTGGCTTAACAATGAATCGAAAATCCTTTTACGTAATTGACAAGAAAAAGTCAACTGTATTCAAAACAAATCGCGATATGTGCACAGAGCAAAAAAAAAACGTCCGTACAAATTTCTTTCTGTTGAATGACTCGATGGAATTGTAAACGTAACCATTTCGAGGTGCGGTGTTAATTTTCAATTGACCGGAATCGAAAGTCAATCAAGAATTTATTTAATTGAATTGTCGGCCATTCGAATGAACATGACGAGGAATTTCCCGCGAATATGTGAGCGCACTCGCACTCTCGTAGTTGAAGCAAGCCAAGCCAAAACCGCAATTCAAAAAAAAAAAATCTCACCTCAACAGATTAATCGGTTTCATTGTCTCTCGGCAATTTTCTATATTTGTTCGCTGATTGCCATTAAAAATTGGATGATCATTCATGCGAAATTTTTTTTATCTCCATTAAATTCGAATGAATGAATGAATGAACGAACGAACGAAGAAGACGAAAACGAAGAGAAAAAAAATGTAATCATAATAAGATTATGCATTTTCATTATCCCGTATTATCGAATTGTGAATGTGTGTTTGTTTGTGTTCGCTTCTCACTTCACTCGCATTTACCCAGATTTTACCCGTTAATTAATGCAATTATTTCATTTGCTTCGACGTAATTTCATTCTCAGCCACCGCGAACGTAATACACTCATCTTCGTTTTTATTTTCTTCAACTTTGAGTGTTCATTAAACCGGCATTTGGAATGAAAAAATGCAGCATCAACCGATGATTTCGTATTCAAATAAGATGAAAATTTGTTGTTTCTTTTTCTTCTTCGCATTTTCTCTGTGAATTTGTTGCTGCTGCTGCTGACACATGATGTGTGTTTGGATTTGGGTGTCAGCCAAGCGATACAAGATATAGTGCGGCGGCGCATGCGACTTGTTTGGCAAAAATACGATATGAAGATGAGAAAGACAGAATGAATGGAATGTAATTTCCATTAAATCATAGCATTGTCGCTTTCGATATAGCGACCACAATCAAAACCAAAGACCCACAATCTCAATCACCTCGTTCGGCAAACACGCTCTGCAGACGGTGAACTTTTATGAACTGTTCATGGTTTTGGAGCTTTGGCTGCCACTCAACACATCGAGTGTGTTCAAAGTTAAGGTTCAACGGTTTTGAAAATGCGTTAAATCTTTCTTTTGATTTGCCCTCTTCATTCAACGGCATCGCGCGCGCTCCATTTGCATATATTTTTCTTTCTCTTTGCCATTTTCTTTTTTGTTCTGCGATTGAAAGTGATTTCGTTTCTTGAAAACGAAACAACAAAAAAACATTGAATCTTCTGTTCAGAGTTTACACTTAACAATTTAATTAATGCTTCTTTTGCACAGTGCGCATACAATTCAGCCAAGTTAAACTCACCTCATTCATCATATATCGGATTGGCTCTCGATCTCGTGGCGATGATGATTTCGGAACAAATGCGAAAGAAAACGCCACATTTAATTGAATCCGAATGCCATTGTTCCCTAAACACTCTCGAAATGAATATCACGAGAGTACGGCTTTTGTTTTAAATTTACGCTAAACGGATAGTTCATTACCATTAAAGACGTAATCGTGGCGAGAAATTAATGGAATTTTTCTCTTACTCTTCGATTCGAGTTAATCACATGCTTTTGATACACACCATTTCCGGCGCTTGATTGGAAGACAATTTATTAAGTACATTTCTTTTTTTTTTCTCTCGATCATTTTATTTATAGCCACAACAGCAGCAACCTCTTTTGGGCAGCGGCGGTACTCGACGCCAACTGACGCCGGCACAACAGACCCACATTTTGAGCGATATTCAACAGCATCAACAACGGTTCGCAACACAAAACCATATCTTCAATCCGAATCAACAACAAAAGGTTTTCGGCCAGAAAATCGCTCAAAACATTTTGATTGAGCCTTCGGTGCAGACTCAATTGCCAACGGAAACGACGGTACTCCAATTGCAACAAGGCCAAAGTCCATTCTTTGTGAATCAACAGATTCCACAACAACAAGCGTTACAATCACGATTTCGTGCACCAAACAATTTGCGATCGAATGAATTGCACGCACAACATCACACCCAAACGAATTTCATTCCAAACTTCAATGGGCCACAGAATAATGTCGTTTTCCCACAACAACCGTTATTCGAAAGAAATCCACAACAAGTGTTCCAACGCTCGGTGGCCAATCAACAAGGCGATGCCAATCATGTCTTTAGGCCATCACAACCATTCCCTGTCATTCCACCAGCACCAGTACTTCCTGCCAGCTCCGAACAAAACTTTGGTCAACCATTGATCGCACCGGTGCAAACTTTGCAACAAAATCATTTGCATCATCAGCAGCCAAATCATCAACCAACCCACCAACAGAGTCATCAACAAAATGTGCAAAATGTTCAATTCGTCCAAAATCACGTCTTGCCGCCGATTCAAAATCAGCAATTCAACCAATTCCAAAACCAACAAGTTCACTTCAATCAAGCCGCTTCATCGAACAACGCTCCATTCTTTGGCGATCTTCGGCCCGAAGATCCACGCTACAAGGAATTTCTCGAACGGCAAAAGGTCATTCAAAAGCACGAACACTTTGTCCACCGCAACCATGAAAAGCAACAAGCCAAAGTGCGTCAATTGCATCAAGAATTCGTTCAACAGCAACGCCGTATCAAAGAGCAAAGCATTGTCAATTTGAAACAAAGACCAACGACCAATTACTTCCCGCCAGCAAGCCGCGGCCGTTTGGTATCACCATACGAAATCGGTACATTTGAGCGTGCGGTACAAACATATCAACAAAATTTCCCAACGCAACCAACATCAACACCATATCCATCGACAGAATCGGAAGCAGCCGCTGCATCGACAACAAACCGTGTCAAATCGAGCCGTTCGAATGTAAAAGGCGACATTTCCGAAAGTGAACTTGAACGATTGCTGTTGCAACAACGTGAAAAGCTGTACACGCAATTGAAGCAAGAGGAGAAGACAACGAAAAAGGCAAAAGTGAAGCCAACTAAGGCAATTGGCCGTGATGATTTGTTGAAACAATTGAAATTGGCATTGGCTGATCAACCGGCCGATTTGGGTAATTCAAATTTTACGACAATGGATTTGGTGTTGCCAGACGGTCAAAAAGTGCAAGTTATTCGTACAACGGATCCAAATCTGGTTAAAGGAGCCACTCCATTGAATGCTGATGGTACCATTTTAACCGAGCAATCGAATCCCGTCGTTGATCAAAAACCATTGATTGAACAAGCTGCTGATTCGGGTCTCATTCCACCCGGCTCTGATTTTGAAGTGATTCGCCAATCAACTGATGGCTCTCTGCAACCAGTTGGAAATCTGACACCCAAAAAGAAAGTCACCTTTGTTTATTTGGAAGAGCAGAATGATGGATCGTACAAGGTTCAAGGTGTGAAATCCAACGGCGAAAAAGAAGCGAAAACCGATGGCGTTGAAGTCGATAGCATTATTAATCGCATTAAAAATGGTGAAATTCAATTGCCACCAACCAGCGTTCGTAGAAATACCGTCGCACAATCAACAGCATCCATTCAATCGAGCTCACCATCGTCCACATCGTACAGCGGCAGTTCGACGTATGACAACAGCAGTCCTTCAACACATTACATGACCAGCGCTACTCCATCACCAACATTCTCATTCGTTAGCTCAGCATCACCATACTCAACACTTTCGACCGACCCAACTGAAGATCAAGAGAATTTGTTGACCGCTTCGCCAAGCTCACACTATCCAACATCAACACCACGATCAGTCTCATCACGTTCCATTTACACAACGCGTGCGCTCAGCACCACTTATTCCGATAATCATATCGCCTCAACTGGACAACAACAACAAACGGTATCGGCCAGTACTGCATCTCAAACACCAACCACCAGTCCACCAACTGAAACACTCACCCCACAACAATCGGAATTGATCAATATTTTGAAGAATTCAGGCCTGCATGCAATGGCGAAGTATTTGAGGCAATCAGGATTGGACTCGATTCTCAACGAAACCGGCCCATACACACTCTTCGCTCCATCGGACAAGGCATTCAAAAATCTGTTGGTTCAATTGGGCGGTCCAGATCGTGCCGAAGAAAAATTCAAGAGCAATCCACGACTTTTGAGCGGCGTAAGTTTCGAGAAGACATTATCAAATTTTTTCACAAATATTAGAATTTAATCGATTTTCGTTCTCTTCGCAGCTTCTCTTGCATCACGTTATTCCTGGATTCTTTGAAATTTCCCAATTGCAAGACGAAATGACTGGCGTTTCATTGGCTGGAACACAATTGCGAGTTAACCAATACAATATGCATGATACCGAATGGAATGATGTTAAGGTAAGCATGTTCAATGAATTCTTCAGCATTTTTCAGGCAGAAAATATCTTTTCTATAATTACATCTTGACTTGATTGAAGAAAAACCAGAGATGAATATTCAAATCTTTGTGGATGGCGTACATTATTTGAAAAAATGCATTAAATTGTTTTCTTTTCTTTCATTTTCTTTGAAGAAGAGAGTTTTTTATCTAATTTATTCTACTTTTTTTTTTATTAAAATTTCATTAAAATGATTTCTAATTCATTTCATTTTAGATCACAACTATCAACGGTGCTATGGTGTTGCCGGACAAAAAAGATATTATTATTCCACAAGGAATTGCGCATTCTGTGGATCGTGTAATGTTCCCGCTGCCAGTTGGCGACCTGCTCCAAACATTGCAGAGCGATCGAGAACGTCGCTTCACGAACTTCTTGCGGGCCCTCTTCTCGTCTGGTTTATCTGAGTTGATGCAAAACAAAGGTGAGTACAGAGAAAAAAAAACTCGACTTTATGATATATATGGCATGCATACACGATGTAACTTTTTTTTTCTCTTCTCTTTCTGATTTCTCCCCAAAAGATCCAAACACTGGCAGAACATACACCGTTTTCGCGCCGACTGATTTGGCCTTCTCGAACCATACACAAGAAGAAATCAATTTTATGGTGACAGATAAGGCAACCGCACACAAACTCGTTATGCGACACGTGACACCAGGTACACTCTTCTCATCGGGCATGCGTTTCTATCAAGTGCGCGATTCATTGCAAGCCGGCAATGCAATCACATTGCAGAAAGTGAACAACGGTATGACACAAACCTGACTATTTAACATGAGCATCACGTTTAATTGCTTTCGATTTATGTTCTGTGTTTTGTAGGTAAAATCAAAGTGAACGAATCGCAAATGGTTTCATCAAATATTCCAGCAACGAATGGTGTAATTCATGTGATTGATTCATTACTTTGAAGTCGGGTGCACGAGCCCCGAAGACACTTTCTACATTTAGACTAAAAACAACAAAATTTCATCTAACAAAATGATACGCAATCGTAGAATCCCGTAGAGAATGACCGAGCTCTTCGAATGCTTCAACACAACAAACAAAAATCAAGCGAATCTTTTTATTGTTAAATTTAAGGCCATTTTAGCATGTAGTCTTTTCTTACTATAGTGTACATAGTATGGATTCTTTTTTTTAATTTATTTTCGTTGGTAAATTCAAGCAAAAAAACAACATTTTTTTTAAATATTTGAATGGAGTGTTTATTTTTGGCATTGCAAAATTTATTTTCATTCAGTTTCCAATCGATGAGGAGTTCAAGTCTATATATTGCGTTGTCAAAACACAAGATAATAGTATTTAAAGTACAGATAAAAAGAATTGGTTCATGAACTTACGTATTAATCCGATTTGAACCAGCGCTTACCTGTTGAAATTTCCTTCAGACAAATATACAAAGGCAACAATCCGTTCAAGCTACTTAATTGTTAAGGTAGATAGAGAAATGAAATGTAACATATTTTGTAATATCCGAACAAACAGTACGAATAAAGTGTTGTTTCATTAAAAATTTAAAAACTAAAAAAAAACCACGCAACGACATTTCTTTTTTTGATTAATTTTTCTTTTTATTCATAATTCAACAGAACTAAATGATCCATAATAATAATTTGATTATGTCCTTATCGCACAATGTGGATTGAATATGTAAGTTTGATATAGTTTGTTTTCAGCCGATTTCGAAAAAAGAGGCGGTTTCTTTTTGAGTAAATATTTTTTAGTATATAGTTTTTGTTTGTTTGCCTCGTTGAAGCTCTGAGCTGAAATCCCGGAATCACAATTCTCAGTGGATTTCCTTGTGTTTCTCCAATCATAAATTGATAGCACTTCTTTTTAAACATTACAGATGTTGGCTTTGAATTTTGAATTTTAATTTTTTTTCTTGGTTGGATATAAATAGTTGGTAGATAAAATTGATTTGCGTTATAGTTGAAGCAATTTGATATTTTAATTTGATATGTTTAGAGCATTTTGGCGGATAGTTTTTTTTTAATTTTTAATTTTCCCAATTGAACCATGTCAAGACTAAATTGTTCTTTTCGGTCTTTTGGAAGAAAAAACTGCAAAGTAAAGTCTGAAAACAAATTTTCGACAGTTATAAACTCTGGAGCATATTTTTTCGAGACAATCGAAACATTTAATTGAGACATATGCAATTCGTTTTGTAAAAAGTTCCGATTTTATTGCTACTGCTACACGTAATTTGTTTTTGTCAAAATGTACATTCAGTTGTTTATTTTTTCTCCAAAATTCATAATTTATTTTATGTTCAACATTTTGGTGACTGTCTTTGATTCCACCAGTTCTGTTCCGTTTCGTGACAATCGAATTCTCCAGAATTTAACATCAACATGTTGACTCATATTCACCATATCAACTCAAATGATGAAGGTCGCTTGATATCAAATGAAAGGAATTTTATCAATAATAATCGTTCCAAAGATGAAAGACAGATCTATGGACGTAAAATTCTGGGGAAAGTTATGAAACTGGCTCCATCAACGACTTTCGCGGGAAAAAAAAACACCGTTTAAGAAAAAATCGTCATCATGCTTAAGCATCTGGGTTTTCAAAACATAAAACTGTTGATGTCAACGATGTTTTCGTAGATCCATAACTTTCCTTGTAATTTGACTTCAAAGTGAAGTCTCCAACAGATCTGTGTTTTATCTATGGTACGAGTCCACATGGATACGTTACGTAATGGAATTGGTGATATCAACAACATTCTTCCGAAATATGATAAATTAGTTTATGTTCAATTTATTAAATTCCAACTTATTTTTTGTAAGCCAAACCTCCGTCAATACTTCTCTCTTTCTCTCTCTCTCTCTCTCTCTCTCTCTCTCTCTCTCTTTGGCGATATTCAATTTATTTATATCCAGCTACAAAATGAAACCGTTGAGCTCTGCTCAATGTTCGGGTGATAATTGAATGGCTCATTTTGCTACACCCATTTCGCTTTAGTCACCAACGCTCATTTCGTTTAATATCCAACCAGACATGCGTCTGTACGCAATCATTTTCGTTTTTCATTAACATTCAATATAGAAAGGAAAAAAATGTGCACACAGTCGTTATTGATTCTGTTATTTTATCATGGACCTTTATTTTTTGATTGCGATTTTTAAGTACATTCGTCCATTCAGATGTTCGTTTAAGAATAATAATGGTTAAAAACTAAAAAAAAAAAATTAATTAAAATTATGAACTCTTTTCTCTCAGATATTTTCGCTTGTTATTCGTATTGGCCTTTCGAAGAATTTATCGTGTATGTTATGAGTCAAGTAGTTTTTTTTTGTTTCATTTTCTGTTGATTAATCTCTCGAAAGGGCAAAATTCCAAACATTGTTTCCGTTGTGTAATTTTCTGTATATTTTTTTTTTCTGAACTTAACTTAAGTGAAATTATAAATATTTACAAAATTGTGCCATTTACACTGAACGAATAACAATAATTTGTTGTTGTAGCTTACAAATAATCCGAGATAAAATGATAAAAACGAAAAAAATGACTTTATAATCTAACAAACTAAAAAAAAGAACAAAGAGAAAAAAAACTAAAAATTGAATCGACTCAAAAGAATATGCATGGAACACATCTTGTCGTTTGAGCACAATTATTTCGCTGTTTTCTTTCTTTCTTTTATTTTTAATTTAAAGAAGACGAAAAGAACCCTCATAAATGCTGTTGAGTTGCCAGTGAGCAACGATTCATAAAAACGGTTTATAATTTGATCTTTTTTTGTTTAAATTTATTTACAAAACACAAATCGTTTATCGAATTGCACAAAATAGTAGAAATATGTTAATTTTTGTTTCTTCATCGTTTTGTTTTCCAAGCAAATAGAATTTCCGTGATAGTGTAATATAAAATGCCAACATCCTTTCTCTCTCTCTCTCTCTCTCTCTCTCTCTCTCTCTCTCTCTCTCTCTCTCTCTCTCTCTC